TCAACATGTCATGAGGTCCTGGGTCACAAGAAGCACCACCACAAGGAATGGATCACTGTTGGTACACTGGATAAGATTCTAGAAAGGAGGAACAAGAAGGCAGCGATCAATACCAGCCGAACAAGAGCAGAAAAAGCCAAGGCACAAGCTGAATACACGGAAATAAACAAACAAGTGAAGAGGAGCATCAGAACCGACAAACGTAAATATGTGGAAGATTTAGCAACGACGGCGGAAAAGGCTGCAAGAGAAGGAAACATGAGACAATTGTATGACACGACAAAGAAACTCTCTGGAAATGGCCACAAACCAGAACGACCAGTGAAAAGCAAGGAAGGCAAGGTAATCACCAACATTGAAGAGCAACAAAACAGGTGGGTAGAACACTTCGAAGAACTGTTGAATCGACCAGCTCCACTGAACCCACCCAACATCGAAGCAGCACCCACGGACCTCCCAATCAATGTTGGCCCACCAACAATTGAAGAAATCAGCATGGCCATCAGACAAATCAAGAGTGGCAAAGCAGCAGGACCGGACAACATCCCAGCAGAGGCACTAAAAGCAGACGTAGCGGCAACTGCACGGATACTCCACATTCTCTTCAATAAGATTTGGGATGAGGAACAAGTACCAACAGACTGGAAAGAAGGACTACTGATCGAAATACCAAAGAAAGGCGATCTCAGCAAGTGTGATAACTACAGGGGCATCACTCTTCTCTCAATACCGGGCAAAGTCTTCAACAGGGTATTGTTAAACATGATGAAGGACTTCGTAGACGCCCAACTTCGTGACCTGCAGGCAGGATTCCGTAAGGATAGATCGTGTACAGACCAAATCGCAACTCTACGGATAATTGTGGAACAATCAATTGAATGGAATTCATCACTCTACATCAACTTCATTGACTACGAAAAGGCATTTGATAGCGTGGACAGGACAACACTATGGAAACTTCTTCGACACTAAGGCGTGCCTCAGAAGATAGTCAATATCATACAGAACTCATATGATGGATTACACTGCAAAATCGTGCATGGAGGACAGTTGACAAAGTCGTTCGAAGTGAAGACCGGTGTCAGGCAAGGTTGCTTACTCTCACCCTTTCTCTTTCTCCTGGTGATCGACTGGATCATGAAAACGTCAACGTCCGAAGGAAAGCGCGGGATACAATGGACATCTAAGATGCAGTTGGATGATCTAGACTTCGCAGACGATCTGGCCCTTCTATCCCAAACGCAACAACAGATGCAGGAGAAGACAAACAGTGTGGCAGCAGCCTCAGCAGCAATAGGTCTCAATATACACAAAGGGAAAAGCAGGATTCTCCGATACAACACAGAATGCACTAATTCAATCAAAATTGACGGAGAAGATTTGGAAGATGTAAAAACCTTTACGTATTTGGGCAGCATCATTGATGAACAGGGTGGATCTGATGCAGATGTGAAGGCGCGGATCGGCAAAGCAAGAGCAGCATATTTACAACTGAGGAACATCTGGAACTCAAAGCAACTGTCAACCAACACCAAGGTCAGGATTTTCAATACAAATGTCAAGACAGTTCTACTGTATGGGGCAGAAACCTGGAGAACTACAAAAGCCATCATTCAGAAAATACAGGTGTTTATTAACAATTGTCTACGCAAAATACCTCAGATCCATTGGCCGGACACTATTAGCAACAGCGCACTGTGGGAGAGAACAAACCAGATCCCAGTGGAGGAAGAAATCAGGAAGAAGCGCTGGAAGTGGATAGGACACACATTGAGGAAAGCACCCAACTGTGTCACAAGACAAGCCCTCACATGGAATCCTGAAGGTCAAAGGAAAAGAGGAAGACCAAAGAACACATTACGCCGGGAAATGGAGATAGACATGAGAAAAATGAACAAGAATTGGATGGAACTAGAAAAGAAGGCCCAGGATAGAGTGGGTTGGAGAATGCTGGTCAGCGGCCTATGCTCCATTGGGAGTAACAGGCGTAAGTAAGTAAGTAAGTGAATAAACTCAATATCGTCAGGAGATATGGTGATGATTCTGACATAGGACAAATAAAGAAAACTCTGCTTGAAAACTAAAAGGTTAGACTTTCTAGAGTTTATTCAGTTTGGTATCTGACATAAATCAACTCAGAAATAATCATGAAACATATCTTTGATCATATTTGTGAAATGACATTGGATTTTTGCTTTTTTTTATGTACACAAATATGTACACCATAACAGGAAATAAAATCTCCTCCTGTAGCTCTTAAAGGGTTACTGCCGGTCCCAGGACTGGGTAAAAGAGGATGATTTGGCATCGGGTCAGCAACCCCATCACATGGAAAACAACCCTGAAAAAAAAGACCAACCAGAATAAACAAATTAAACTATTTAAACTCTGCCCTCAGAGGTGGCCTATGCTTCTTCTCGAGGAGTAACAAGTGTATGTTAGTAACAGGAAATAAAACCATTAATAAATTAACAATAGATATATACTCTTTGTTATATCCCAATGAGGGAAAATTGTATTTCTAACGTTTCGCGACCTAATGTAAGTTGTTTCTTCAGAGTAAACAACGTTGATCGAGTCTATTATTAAGGAATCAAATATTATCATTTATGTCCAGAATAATAAATCTGTGTAGTGAATGGTTAGGTAAGGATGAAAATAAAGGTCAAAAACTCCTTAGTTTTATGAAAAACACACAACCGTGTTTAAGTTCTTATGATGATTAGGAGTATTTGAATTATAGTACGAACTAAGAATCCCAGAAATAACGTAATCGGATCAAGAAGTACCAGAAAAGCACGAACGAATGTACTGTATTTGGAATTCGAAATCAAGCATTCAACAAGTACAAAGGAATAATTAGTTCATTCAAAAACCACAGCTCTCTGTTTAATTCTGTCTTTATTTCTAAGATTTAGCTCTAGTATACTGCACAATTATAACTGGATATCTAGATTTTGATCAACATTGAAAACCGGTTGGATTGTGTTATGAATTCAACTATTTTAGATCACTAATTAGAAATATTTGATTACAGAGTCCACTTATAACTAGTTGGCTTTGTGCCTTGGACCATTAACTTTCTCTTTAACCGAAAACACACTGAAATCGTAACTACTATTCTTCCACTCATCACCTTCCATCCATAATTACAGATCGGAAGACAGAAATGGCTAGCAGATTCGTCGTCTTTTATCATATCATCCTGCGTCAAAAACTCATAGGAATGGTGATATGATGAGAAGAAAAATCAATTTTCGATCGATTTACTCATTATGTGTTTTATCCAACATTACTTCTATTTTGACTCAATGCGGTGATTATTCAGTGTAGTAGTTGTTTTATCGTATGATGTTTTATCCTGTATAATATACGATATTCAAGTATTCAATTGACATGAACTATGTGATTTGTTATAACTGAGTATTTCCCATATATGTGATTTCATCCTAATTATTAATCAAAATGGGTGAACAATCAATATATAAATGAGTTTATTTTCCACTAGGGTCGTCATCGTGTTTCGCGGTTAATAAATCTTCACTTAGACCAGCCTTTGTGTTCTTACTTTCGCGTCATGGGAATTGTGGAGGTCCCTCGTTCCGGGTATGAGTGTTAAGCGTTTCCGACATAACAATCAGCGACGACCAGATGTAACAAGTAGCGTTAAACTGACAAGTTATAACAAATGGATACATCAGTTACATAACCACAGCACACCACAAATAAGACATCATAGTGTGTACATAGCTAGATCATATTTGATATTAAAATGTGCACTAAGTCTTCAGTTAATTAAGGAACGGCAAAATATATAGCTACAGTTAGTGAGTGAACTGAAAAATAGTTAAAATTAAGTGGTTAATACATATACAGTAAAAATATGTAATATATAATAGACCTCTGTATCATAGTTCTAAAAATTATATCTCTCAATTATTCACTAAGATCTAACTAATTAGTACTTACTAATGTCTCATGATTGATTACAATATTTTATGTAGTTTGACAAGATATCAACTGTAAGTAATACATATCAATTATAATATCTCTAATTGTAACTAAAAAGGATATAAGTCTCGACTGTTAACAGTATTATGGAGTTCCTTTAACTCTGGATATATGTCTAAGGGATATATACAATCAAGGAATATAGTGAAGTAGAAAATAGTAGCTTTCTATAGTTCTTAGTTATTCAACATTAAATTTAGTATATCACAAATTGGAGATCATTTGATATGATGGCCTCATCCCGAATATGATAGAGTTCTTCATAAATTAGACAGAATGAATTCAGCTATTGATTAAAAACTGATTTGATTTTATAACCCAGTCTCAATTAAGGATTCCAAACAGTTCTATTAACTTGTTCGTAATATAGTTAAAATATATTGATCAACAAATGTAAAAATCTAGTAGAGACTTCTATATTTAAGAAACATGCACATGTCCTATTAACTTTGTCTAAATATTTGAAAGGAATATACCCATATGAATAGTTAACTTATTGATAATTAAATAATAATAAAATAATCAAGAATCCTGAAAAGAGTGATAACCTTAGTGAAAAAGCCATCTGAATGATAATTTATTTGTATTAGTTGTTTGAATCTCCTCATCGATTCTTAGGAGTGCAATTATCTGCACAAGCCAGTGGCTATCTGAACCCAGTAGCTAAGTCGATAACGCGATGGTGTCTGAATCGAACGATAATCGGTTCGAGTCCTAGAGTTAACATCAGTTCTGGGATAAAGGTATGTCTAAGTGACCAGTCCCAAGTAGAACAAAACGTGCATCCTAGATTCAACTTTTAGCCACTATCCATTTTTACTTATCTGAGTGGTAACCCATTCATCCATGCAATCACAAGACTCAAGTAATGATCAAACCTCAGTATGACAATTCGTCCAACCACCGATTGTTATTGTCAATACTGGTTAGATTTTCTCGTACAGAAAAAGATACACTTAGATACACAAGAAAAGTCTACCATCACTGACCATATTTAATTTTTGAATTTCTTTTTCTGCTTCCATTTTCAATCGAACAGCATCATCAAGTTGAATACGAAGACGTTTAGTTTCTTCTTCAATTAAATCAATTTCATGTCGACGTTCATCCTTCAATGTTAAATTTACTTTACTCAATTGACATAATTCTTCAACTAAAGCTTTATTATGGTTTTCTTAATTCAGAGAAAATAAAATAAACAAATACTATGATAGTCAATTTTGTTTAATAAAAATTGGTAAGGAAAACTTTAATAGTATGAAAAATACTGGCATTAAAAAGATCATCTGGTTAATTTTCTTTCTGCAGATTAGAATTTAACTAACTAATAGAGTGTACAATAATTAGATCTTAAAAGTCATTGATATGATCTATCGTATGATTTGACTACTGACAAGTAAAAACTGTATCAAGTAAGGATACATTTCCTAACATCTGAATTAACTTGAGATTCTGGCCTATCTGATATTCATCAGAATAGATTAACTTCACTGGTTGCCTAATTTAGCTTCTTATGATTCATTTTCTCAGGAATGAGAGTGAATAAATTCTTGATTCGGTTAGCCAATAAAAGCCTTCTACTCATATTTGGTTTTCTCGCTCATGTAGCTTGCTAAGACACACATATGGGAAACGCACAAAAAGTAGCAAACACTGACGACCGCCTAATATCCAAAAACGTTAGATATATTGAAGTGGATTCCTATGACCTCTGCTATATGAATAAAATGAGTACCACAGTAACGAGGTCAGACGAGATGAATCGATTTTTTTTCTCTAAATAGTAATTAATTACTCTACCAAAATACTTACCTAAATCTCTTTCATTTCTTCTACCGACAGTAATTTGATCTTCTGTAATTGCTAATTTTTCAATTAAACTTTTATTCTGTGTTGAAAGTCGATCAATTTCATTGTTTAGTTCACCAATTAATTTATTATATTCTTTACGTGCTATATTGTTTTTTGGCGTACTTTTTTCCAAACATACAGTTGGCATAATTTCATGTATTTATTCTCTTCTAAAAATAGAATAAATAGTAAGAAATTAAAGGAATAGAAAAAGTGTATTTATAGTTATTGTAAATATTATTATTGTTAAAATGATGACTTGACCCTTCTATTCTATACACACGAGAAAATGAATGTCAAGACAATCATTGTGACAGCAGCCTCTGCTGCAGTAAACCCCAACATACACAAAGGAAAGAGAAAGATCCTCAAATACAACACGGAGAACACAAACCCAGTCATATTTGATGGAGAAGCTCTGGAATAGGTGGAACCATTCACGTACCTGGGAAGCATCATCGATGAACAAGGAGGATTCGATGCAGACGTAAATGTGAGGATTGGCAAAGTAACGGCAGCATCCCTACAATTGAAGAACATATGGAACTCAAAACAACTGTCAACCAATATCAAAGTCAGAATCGTCAATACGATCGTCAAGACAGTTCTATTGTATGAAGATGAAACTCGGAGAACTACAACAACCATCATCAAGAAGGTACAAGTATTTATAAACAGTTGTATACGCAAGATACTCAATGTCTGTTGGTCGGATATGATCAACAACAGCCTACTGTAGGAGAGAACAAACCAGCTTCCAACTGAAGTGGAAATTAGGAAAAGATTATGGAGATGAATAAGACATACATTACGCAAATCATTGAACTGCATCACAAAGTAAACACCAACTTCGAATCTTGAAGGGGAACGAGAAAGTGGAAGGTCAAACAACACAGTGAGTCGAGAATTTGAAGCAGACATGAAAAGAATGAATAGCAAATGGAAACAACTGGATAGGATAGCTCAGAACAGAGATGGGCGGGAATGCTGGTGTGTAGCCTATGCTCCTTCGCGAGGGGTAACAGGCGTAAGTAAGTAAGATATTATTCAGAATTTTAACATTTCTTCATGATTATTGTCATCATAAACTGATGTCGGATGGAAAGGATTTTGTAAAATAATCTGTTTTACTTCAATATGGAAAATTTTATCACTGATTAATTTTATAAACTGATTACAACTGAGTGTATGGACTAGTGGGTTCTCTCACTCAGTGGACTAAATGTATCATCGACACTAAAATTCGTGATCTTAAGGAACACATTTAACAGTTGGTACATTCTAACTGGATCCTACTGAGGAGTACACATCTTTAAACTTACTTTCAATGAAACTTAAAATGTTCCAGTTTTACGATTGATATCACTTTTTTACGTCCACAGTTACAACTCCAACTATTTTGTGAGATATAAATAATCAATAAACGAGTTGAATAGGACAATTTGAATATATACCAAACATGATGTTTCCCTATACTATTTTATTTCTAAATTGAATACAAGATACAATTACTAACTGGAATACAAAAAAATCTCATTATCACTGAATGTTCCATATTATTGTTGAATACTAAAAATACATCTATTCTAGCATCTCAATGATCTTTAATTCAAAAATTTGTGTTTGCCCAAAAAAGTTAGACAGTATGTTCATTTAATTATCGTCAAGAAAATTAATTAAGAAACTAAAAAAAAACTGTTAAGATTCAATTTAAAATGAATGTGTACAGTTTTACTATGGTAATTTCTTCAAATAATTAACACCTTAGTAACCTTGGTTAGGGTGTTACAGTGACATATATATGTGTAACATGTACGAAATGATTCAAATGAATCAATCAGATTTCGGTGCGAAACTCGGTCTGACATTACAACTAATCTCAGTTCTTGATGAACACCTTGATAATTCAAACATTAAAATTTGCTATTCATGTTATGATTTTATCACTGGTTTGTTATATAACGTTTCATAACTAAACACTGTTTTCACGTTGGCTAAAATGTAGTTCAAGGTCTACCCTGTACTTTTCTTCTCATGTGATTTGTAATACATGTGTAAATATAGACTTTCTTAACTAATTCAAAAACATATAGATTATTCATAGAGCGTGCTCCTAGTGATTCAGCACGTAAGCTTAGATTTAAATCACATGATCATAAAAGATTTTTGCTCATTGTTAGGTAAGAAATATATGGCATTAATGTTCCAACTATTAGGAAACATGGCAGTGTATTTAATGACACAAACACCACAATGTAACCCAGTAAACATACAAAAGTGCTTGACAGTGCGTATAGATTTTCAGTTGAGAATAATTCTTAATTATGCTATATATATATATATATATATATATATATATATATATATATATATATATATATATATATATATATATATATATATAGTCATTATTTCTCCATCAATGAAATAATGAGCTCCTTTCGTTATTGATTACATATTTGTTCGCTTACTAAAAAGAAATAATCCGTAGTCGATGATGAGATAAAATGAATAGTAACACCTGTTTCTTTTCATCCATAGGGGTTAACTCTCTGATCTTGTAACGCATCTTGTGAAAAACACTTTGGACCTTGAAGAAAGTACCAATTGAGATGTATATGAATTATGCAGGCAAACTTATAATGTACTAGACATGGATTCTCAATTTCACTTCTAAACGGGTGACATTGTAATATTGTGGTTAGGAGCATTGAAATATGTTTATAACGAGAAGTTAATCGATTCGTATCAGTACACAAGCAATAAGAGATTCTGAAGTCTAATAACAGTCAATTCAATACTGGTCACCTTCAAAACTTGAAAGTACTGAGTTGATAACCTTCTCAATATACCATTTGGTTGATTCAAACTAATTGTAACAACTAAGTAGACTTAATGCGTTAGAAAAGGGAGGATCATGAACTTACACTGCTGATAAGTCTCACACTAGGATGAAACAGTCATCCCGTGCTTACAGGTTTTGATTGGTGGTCCTTTTAATATCCATTCACAAATTAAACTATATTAATTTTTACGTAAATTAGTGGTTGGAGATAGTGGGCAAGATATCTTCCAATCACCCTTACATTGCAACATAGTGCACGCAATGTTTGGTCACTTAGAATAGAACCCCCATTTTAACTTGGTCGATATAATTCGATTGGAAATATAGAAGGACTTGACATACATGGCATTGGCCACTACTTAGTGATCAGTCAGTTGTAATTTGTAAGTGCTTGTATCTTGACGCTAGTATGAAATACTGCAATTGTTCATTAACTTTTGGTTCATGTGCATCCTGGGCAGATTGCCTTGATATTAAAACATATTGGCAGTATTAGAGTAAAGTTGTATAGTAGCTAACTTTCCAATCAAGAAAGAGAGTCTAATTCTATTTAATGGTGCTTAGCTGGATAAACATTCATCCAAGTGCTGGTATTCACACAGGGACACCAACACAATACCTTTCTCTTCAAACTTTAAGGGCATTATCCACTGCGCTAAAGAGTTCATATAGTCATTTGCTTCTGGAATTTCATTTGTAGGTTTTTATATCTTTCCGTAGATATTGAGGACTGAAATCGCTTAGTCCTACAGTGAGCATCCCTACTGGTATGAAGGTACATCCAGTTGACCAATAACAAACAGAGGAAAACAAGCATCCTAGATTCCACTGTTATTCACCACCCTACTTTACTTAATAGATTTATTAGGTAAAAAAACTGAAGTCAAAATTGTTTCACAGACTAGAAAGATTACATTGGTTTATTGGTTCAATTTGCATCAATGATTTTAAACATAACAGTACAATCGACCAATAAAAATGGCGTAGTCTATCCAATTTCTAATCTGTATAATCGATATTGTTAGCCTCGCAGCTTATGGATGATTGCCGAAATAAAATAATGATCTTATAAGAGACATGTCAAACTAGAGCAGATATAAAAATGTAAGGAGGAATGAACAAACGTCTTGACCTAAATTGTATTCAGGCAATGACATCTCAAAAATTCGAAGCAAGTGTTTGAAGTTTCACAGGTTCTTAGTTGAGATCCTGTGGTTCAAATTTGTCAAGTCCAGTAAATTCAGTGTACAACAATACTGTCGTTTGATGACACGGGTAAGCACTTTTTGGCTACTTATTTGGCTGCTTTTACTAGTCACTGTATTCTACTAGAACTTCCTAAACTGCAAAAATATAGCTGACCATAACTCCTTAATAACCACTAATTCTCCAGGTTGGGGCCAGACTATTGTAACAACTACTTTCAGAATCCAAATCTGTTTGTTTATTCATAAACCACTGAAATATACATACCCTAACTAGATAAAAAATTATTAATTTACAAATATCTATAAACATCATTACTGTGTAAGCTGTGATTATACTCCATGATGAAAGTTATGCTCTTTATCCAGAATACTTAAGTGTTAACGCTTCTGATTGGCTGGCGTATGTTCGACTCATGTGAAAAGACATCAGATTCGTCAATCATCTGTGCGCCTTGCTGAGAAATGTTAAAAACTTCGAATCCTCAGCCTAGATCCTTCTGCCAACTGCCTCCAAATGCTTGACATTTTAGGATTCTGTACAAACATGTTAGATAGTCAATCATATAAATGACTACCTTTAATAATTAGGGACGATGTAAGTTTTACTGTCAAGATTTGACCTGATAGTTTCAAATAAACTGAGCATTCACATGACTTTTATAAAAACGAAAAAGTTACGTATTTGCAAAATACCGAATAAGTGGAAAATTGAATCGGAATATTAGAAGTATTTTATTATCATATGATCGATATAGCTGTGTTTAAATCCCCTGGGAGCCCATATGCGATTGTTGCCGATCACTAGCGCAAGTAAAGTTTAAGGGTTGGTGGTAAGGTCGGTGACCCAAATATATAAAAAACAACCCCACTGAAAATACGCTAAACGGAATAAACTTTAGCCACTTAAACTCTGTCTTGGGTGTCAAAGATTCTCCATACGTAAAAGCTAAGACGCCTCATGGTGGATGCCGACATCCTGCGGAATTAACGAGAACAATGCCCCTCCCGACTCTCAAGCCAAAAATTAATATATTTACATGGAATGTCTAAGCAATGTGAGAGACAAGAAGGGTCATTCAAACAGCTGCAGACATGACAGGATAAAACATTGTTCTGCTTGGCATAAGTAAATATAATCTGGACGAAAAGTAACTCAAAAAGAGCTGTTATTGTATCTTAGTTATGAAGAAGAAAATGCACCACACACACAACGAGTAACAATGGTCATGTCCAAAGTACTTCAAAAAACTAGTAGGATGGGGAACCTGCCAAATCAGGATCACCAAGGCATTCTTTAAAACGAAGAAGGTGCAACGCGCCCACTAATTATGTCAACGAAGATGACGAAAACCAGTTTTATGAATTGCTGCAGTTCATTTTCAGGAAAACGACCTGACCAAATGTCAAGTTCGTTATGAACACACTAGGTGTGAGTACATCATGCAGTGAAATGAACTGGAAGAATGGAGCGAGAATGGAGAGAAACTGGTAAGTCAATATGCTGTCAACAATATGGTCATAACAGACACCACTTACACCAAAAAGCGCATACACAAAGCTGTATGGGTTTCACCGAACCAGATCTATCACATTTGTATAAGTAAAAATTTGAAAATTTCCATACCGTATTTAATAACAAATGGATGAGCAAATATAGTTCCGGAAAATCACCTAATGATAATCAAACTAGAACTCAAGCTAGAGAATCATTGAAAAGTTGGAGAAGCAGCAAAACTAAATTTTAATCCAGCTGGCAAGTAGTAAATCGTGACCGTCAAGGGAAACGGGGGAAAGTTAAACCAAAGAACACGATGTTGAAAACTGAAGGCGGAGATTAAGACCATGAAAACTACTTAGGAACAAGTGATAAAAAAGCACAGGATAGATCTGTTTGGAGATCTCTTACTGACCATCTATGACTCAAGAAGGGTAGCAGGTTTAATTGATTGATCTTAATTTTTTCAACCATGTATTTTATTTCAAACGATATTTAGACTCTGTTTTGGATATTGTGAGCTAATCTTTTACTGACTACCTAATATTCTGCAATCAGATCTCTTTATGTTCAAATAATTGACGGTTCATATGTTCCTGCCTCACATTTGAAAGTTCTCAATGGATAAACCCTCTTAACTTCATATCGTAATGAATTTAATATCTTCTAAGTATAATAACAAACATGAAACTTCAACCATCAAGTCAGAATCTAATGACATATATTTTCGTAAACAAAGTTCAGCCATTTTGTAATTCAATGTTTTCTTCTTTAACACTGACAACAATCTTGATGATCCGTTAATTTATATCCTAATGTCGTTTTTGTTCATTTCATTAATTTCTAAGCCAAGATTTCAACTACACTTTCATTTAAAAAGTCAAGTCAAACTGTGTTTGAACATAATAAAAATTGTTCTTTATTCTCTGATTACTATCGGAAAAAAATTGTTTTTTTTAAGCTTTTATCAGTAAACATCTTGAAAATTGTTTAAATACTACTTATTAGTAGTCAATTAGTTATTTAATTTGACTTACAACTGATTGATTTTATTTCTATTTTTTGATTGAGATCATGAACCGATTGATGTTAGAGCACCGTTGGAAACCTGGAAGCATTGGACGGCCGTTTCGTCCTATTGTGGGACTCCTCAGCAATGCAAATTTCCGATCGCGCTCGCGGGATTCCAACCTAGGGCTTTCAGTCGCGCGTGCGAACGCTTAACCTACTAGACCACTGAGCCGGTATCCAATGGTGCTAATGTCTAACATCAACCAATCCACAAAATTGTGCGACTATCTTCCATCGTAATTTTGAAACAACGTTTATTATAGAAGTGTAATATATCAAAAATTATTGTATAACTTTAATCTCTCTTCTAAAGTTGGGCATGTAGTTGTGACAAAACAACATTTAAGCTTATGAGACATTTTTGTAACAACGAAAAATAATGAATGCAAATGAGTCGAGCAATTAAAAACTAATAAATGAAGAGCTGAATGGTATTGATCAGTTCCGACTAACTTTTCTAATATTATTGTACTGTAAGTGAAAGTAACACTGTATTCAAGTTACATCAAGTTTATTTAAAAATTTAGATATTTGAGACAAATGGTTAATCTTTTGTAAAATCGAATAAATCCACGTCTTCAAGGGTGGTAGATAATGTATGATACAGATCACATTGATTTAATCATATAGGTAAACTGATTGGATGTATATTGAATAGAATAAACAGCTTGACGTACGTAGTCCAAAGTCTGTATGATTAAGATATTTAGAAGAATCTATCATTTATAAGTAACCATTGACAGTTTTCTTGAGTCATAACATCGATGGAATTTTAATGAACAGGCTCTAAGGTGAATGAATAACTAACTAGCATATACTTATTTGTCAGTGTGATTGATTCAGATTTCTATCACAGATGATCTTCGATTATTGATTCCTGTCACTCCAAGTTACCTGAACATGAAGTTTAAAATCTCTCGATGCGAATCAAACTAAAAGTTACTAACTTGCTAGATTTTCATCATATCATCGCACAATTAACTTCAGGTATCTCATGACTCAACCCTACTGGAATTACTAGACTTAGACTGTAGTTCATAATGTTGATCTTTACTCTACATAATGATATCCAAATTGAAAATGACTTTATATTAATTACAGTTATCAATACGCTTTCGAAAGTATTTGGTTTTCGGCCACAGGATTTTCAAGAATCTTGAGAACTTTCATAGAATGTCCTATGGGAATATATATTCTTGGTAACTTATATTGCAAGCGATTTTCGATATGACAATTATAATTGTAACATTTACTTAGCTAACCAAAAATTTTGCAGTAAAAATAGAGACTCTTCAAAGTGTACCTAGTTTTTTGAGAAGCTGGAAATGACATTCATACTGAAAGAATTATCAAAATAGATTATTTTTGATAAAGTTCTATCCATTGGGAAATCTTTCGCCTGCCAAAAACAATGACGATATTCTCTTGGAATGTGAAATAAACCCCGTGGTAGCTGATAAGCATACACTTGTAGTGACCTACTTTTATCAAGAGAGCGCGATTGATTTAATGGAAACAATCATTATTATAATCAATTGTACCAGTGATTGTTTTACTGTGCTCGTTTGTTTAACTGTGCTAAAGACAGCCATATTACTGCTCAATTATCTTTCGATTGTGACCTTGCACGGGTTCGGTTACGCTCGGTGACCACGCTTGTACTCCTTTGGCACGATCTCGGTATCCTTTCGATACCACGAGATCGCCAACAAATACATCTCGACTACAGCCATCAACTGCCTTCTGATATTTGGCTTACGGGGGATTTTATCGGTTAACTGGCACGTAGTCTTCTTGTAGTGGTGTTTATAGTCAAACGCTACTCGACACCACACTACATAGTAATGTGTTTTTAAAACCATGTATGAAATGTCAGGAATAAATAAATCCAAAATACTATGTTTAATAAATTAAGAATACGATAAATAGGGTTGGCATATGTTTTAAACTGTCAACATTATTTCTAAAACGTCACCTAGTAGGTCTCCATCCTCTGTCAGTATTCAGTTTAACTATTAATAACATGACTAATCTACTGTAAATACTCGTCCTGTATATTGTTGAATTATAATTCGAAATAAATGAACGAACAAAACCTTTCATTAAATATAGAAGTACTTTGACTTATTCAAAATAAGTAACAATAATTTTTAAGAAATCTTCACATGAATGATTTGTTCATAGAAAAAATTAATGGAAATCAAATTGGAAGTTAAGAATCTTTGCAACACAAATTCGATAGAATGAACTTACATATAGATCGAATTAATATTATCACCGAGTCAATTCACTTGAACAAGACTTAGTAAAATCAAATAATAGCTCCTCTATGAAACGGTCATAAAGTGATTTTCTTAAACATCTGCCTTACAGAATTAAAAAAAAAATTCGAATGTTTTCATACAAACAACATATAAACCAATCAAATTACAGATTGTTGTTACTATTGACAACAAGTAAATTAACATTAAAAAGAAATTCAAAATTAATGAGTAATGTGATACGTAGACAATTCGATTTATTTAAGTTTATTATAAGATTGACCTTACAAATGGAAAGAATAACACGATATAAATCATAAAAATCCACATAATTAAAATACCCCCATTCCGATTTGTATATATTTTTAAGTAAACTGTATGTTTATTGGAAATATTGAACAACTAAATTGTTCAGTAGGAAACTAGCAAAATCAGTATGATATAAGCAGAGTAAAATATGACTTGAATATAAAAAGCGGATTATTTAGAAATAAATAATTTGTATATATGTATGTTTATTTATAAATGAAACCCCAGGATATATTTCGAATTTCAACGAATTTGACCTTGTCAAGCTTTTAACAAAACAATAATGTGCCTATCTAACACACTTTTAAATAAATTATATGTATATATGTCGTTATATCCCGATGAGAATAATGAATGGGAGCTTTTGGAACCCATTTATGGATCGATATTATACGTATATTTTTATCGTATAATTGTTAAGTAACTAAACTACTTATATTCGTGTTCCTCTTATCATAAGCTTCATTTTGACCTATGAACTGTCACTATACGATTTTCCATTCTTGAATTATTCCCTGTCTATTAATCACTACCGCCCACATTCACAATCACATTTGGCCAAATCTTGTACAAATGTTGTTTCCTAGTTTATGGTACGATGTGGTCTGTCTGGTTAGTATATAAACCCAGTATGTTTGAAATAAATGATTCATATCGCAGAGGCTGAGATTGGTGTTCTGGACATAACAGGTGGGGCTAGGAAGGAAGCACGACCGATAAGGACTGCAGAGTGCTCGCACGGGTTTTATGCGTCATTGGTCCAATCGATAATTCACTGTTCTCTAATTGGCGGTATCATTACGTATACATTAACAGGGCACACATGCCACAAGTTATAGCATATATATATTGCGGTAAAATTTAAGACACATTAAATCTTAACTTGAGTTTAGATTTCTCATTTAGTTAATATATTTTAAATTAATTTTCATTATCAACTAATATCAGTTGTGTAAATCATCGAAAGCAATAAGTTCTGGGTAATTGTTTTTCTGTTAGAATTACAGGAACTAGATTTGAATTTAAGGATAGTTGAGATTTTGTACAGAACAAAGGAGAAAATAAAATTGATTATAGATAAAGGTTTTATGTATTCTCCAAAAACATCACAACTCCTTTTTTAAATCAAATGTATTCATTTATCCAGAGTTTAAAGATCTTTGATAAATAGTCAATGAATATGATACATGTGTGAAATATCGGGAATATAATGAAGGATTTCCATGGAATAAAAACTTAATGAATATCATATTAAATTAAAATAAACAAGGTTGTATTGAAATAAAACAAACGTTATACTAAACAACTGCCATACAAATTTCACATTGAATTAAAATTAAAAAAGAATGATGTACTAAATGAATATCACAATAGATTAGAACACGATCTCTTGCTTCACCGTAACCTATTAAAATCTATCATGGTTTGCGAAGCTTCAACAACGTACATACACAATGTATCACTCACTGTATCAAATACATTACCATCAAGTCTAGGGAGAATATAACAGGATTGAGTCTATAAGTCAGAACCAAACATATTAGATTTTTACTTAGTCATTTTGCAATATTGTATCAATTCTATTCTTATTTTCCATACAAACCATGACTTTTTATCAGATTTTTAAGAAACTAATTTTGGAATTACTCTTTACTAACCACATTGGTTTCGTAAGGTGTGTGAAAAACCTAGACAATGCTTAGCTATGATCAGCTGTCACATCAATCTTACTTTTGTTTACCCGTTCACTATCTACGGCAACAAAATAATATCAGATATGTGTCAAACACTCAACAACTGTATTTTGCTTCTTACTAAAATCTTACTGACTAGTTAGGTAGCGGTTATCGGTATGCCCGTTTATTTTATAGCCGCTGATATTTAGATAGGTACGTAAGTTTTAACATTAAAGCGACTGATAATGAAATTTCTGATTAGATATGTGGCTCGATTTAACTAACGATAATACTTGAATCCTTTGGCTAATCCAACGATTAATACACAAATAAAGCCAGAATGAACATTGATGCAGAATAGCATGAAAAGTCCCCTCCCTGTTCATATTTTCAAGTCACTCAATAATTTGGTGACCAGCAATAAACAATTATTTGATCCAAGTTGAGGACCATTGTTTAGAAGTAACCACCCACGATCCAACGCACAAATTCGCTATTCTGAATTATTTTGATTTACATGATAACAAAAACTCTGCGGAAAGCTATTGAGATAAAACAAAAGCAGTCAAATGTCTCCTACTTCGACAGAATCTTTACATAATCTTCACCTTTTGAGTCATCATACCTGTGTTAGTTCAAAACATAAATATTATGTTTGGAACTGCAAACCTATTCAAATCAAGTCACTATTTTCTGTAAATACGCATTCATTCAATTTGAACTTCATAAGGCTTCGATGATACAAGAAGTTAATTATTCTGTTACGTGATAAATAAACACTGTCAAGTTAACAAAGATCGAATAACTGTAATTTGTTTGATTAATAAAAATTGGATCCGCAGTGTAAGTAACAGGGTTGTGTGTGATTGGTACGTATTCTGATCAGCAATTGAAGTAAGAGATCTCGTAGTCGGAGGTGGACAGTTTACAATGTTGAAAATAAAAGAATATCATTGAACAAAAAATTCTAGCTTGAATCATTTGTAATCAATCATATAAAGATCCTGAAAAATTCCACTTAATCCAGTTAAATAAATACTACATTGGTCAGAATGAGAATTTATTATTGGTGTTCAGCTTGGGAAAGATGATCAGTTAAATAAGTTGTTGTTTTTCCAAACTAAATAACACAACGATCATGCTTATCAAATATGTTCTGCCCGCCTATTAATCTACCTTAATTTTGTATATTTACATCGTGTCTGATATGTTCATTTTCAGTTTGTCATTTTCCGCTTTCCATTTCTAACTGGTACGTTCTTTCATTTTCATAAGCCATTGACATTATTCTAACTCTTCACTTTTTATTATATTTATTCTGTTGTTTAATTGATTGCCTTCTACTTCTAACGAAATACCTAGACGGTTATAGTCTTTATCTATAGTGTGCTTTGACTGCATGACATTTTCGTTCTTGTTTGTGCTGCTTCTCTCGGTTGTCATTCAGTCTTTTTTCGAATCTCTGAGTCATATTGGATACCTTGTGTTCAGTGAATTTTCTGAGGGGAAGTGCTAAAAATGAGAGTTTATTAATTCATAACTGTAACTGGATATATATTTAGTCCTGAGATTTGTGATATTGGGAGCACCATTGGAACCCATTCGTAACCCATAAAAAGTTCTTAGTTTTGAATTTATTTTGAATAAATACTGATTTGATGTAGATGTTTTCTGGATCGTAGCTCATCACTTCCATTGATTAAAATGTCCCTGAAAGTACTTACAACACATTCCTTGTGTATACACAGATACATACATAAATACTTGGTCGGATATTTTGATACTAGAACACGGTATGGATCCGAATACAGCCAAGTGCATTTCACTAGTTAATCGACATCATTATATAAACTGATTTAAATCATTCAACAAATTCTGAATTGATCTTTTACACTATTTTGCTACACAATTATGAATCATGTTTAGGTTCAAATTAGATATGTAACGTTCAAGGGGACAAATAAATGTTTTATTCATTAGGGATAACATTTAATTAGGCATTAGTGTTTGTCCCATAATATAAAAGTGACAGGTGGTTGTCATTTATTTCTACCGTCTCAGTATATGTTGGGGACGATATATCCCCAAAACTCATTTTGTAATTTTATCATATCGATTAATTTATCGATTAAATGATTAATAGCAGTCAATTGATGAACTCATAGATTAATGTTTAAAAATTTCCCATGACAATATCAAGCTTGGACTTCTCCTTCTAGGTAGCAGAGCTGGAACGCATCAATAGCTAGATTACTGGTCTTTGGTCACTGAGTCTTGTTCTCGTTCGCAGATTAAGTAAACTCGTGAAGCTCCAAACCTAACAGTATATTATAAAATGCTTGACATTTGAATTTAGCAAATTCATATTAAAATGTCACTCGTTATTGTGATATACATTAATCATAATATGAAAATTCACATTCAGTACACTATTATATATATGTATATTACTCGTAAATTGTATCCGTCAATCTGTAGTGAACAAGAACTCAGATGGAGACAACCAGTTTGTTATTTAACACAAAATTACAGAATATCTTCATAAAATATGAGAACCATACACTAAATACTTCATTTGCAAATCTTCCACTAATTCTACTTCACGTTCTATATGATTGTTTCTACTTATAATTCCTTTCCATTTCTCTTTCTGTTTTCTTCAAATCGAACTTCTTAGCCTTCTGCTACCAGGCTTCTGATTGGTGTTATATACTGCTTATGTTGAAAAACATAAGTAGCATGCACCACAAATCGACCTACTAGGTTGTTGTTAGTTTATTTTATTTATTCAAATTATTGCGCATTATGTATTTTTAAAGTATAACAGGATTAATTTCAAGTATCAATGACTATACATGTTCAATATTTTAATACTGTGAAAATCAAGAAGTGTATAATAACCATATGTTTTTTCGAAACATTTTTTTATTATGATTAAACAAATTACTTTCCATAGACACAATTTAAAACTCAAATCCTTATTTTGAGTGGGTTGTGTTTTCTTTTTTAATAATCAACGCTTAAAAGACGATATAATTGAATAACAAATATACATTAAATGATCACTTGCTCGAATTTTAAATGGAAAATGATCAAGCTGAAAGTCAAACGACTACTCACTGTTGACATTGGATGGTGTTATTACTTCATATAATATGTTGGCTAAAATTGGAAAATGCGTAACGTAGGTTTCTAATTAAAGAGATGATTGGTATTATGGTCGCGATACAAGCTAAATATTCGATCAGTTCAACAAACGCAGGACTGTATATACATCGAATCAATTATCCTTATTTTTCATAGTTATTCTAATTAGTAACAATGGCCACCCAAATGCCCTGGTATGGTCGAAAGTGGGGAGAGTGGGCTCTCTCTCTCTCTCGAAATGCTCTCACATGGCCACGCGTAAATATCCTCTGCCAGAGAAG